CTGAATGACCGTTGAATTCAAAGCTGGAAGTTTGCAACACGAGCGACACGCCCAGGCACATACACACACATACACACTGATGCATACACACATTTTTGATTAGTCATTTCCAGTGGTTCTTGGACAGTTGTTGCCCACTGTATTCCGATGAGAGACATCAAAATCGCTCGTTTCCATGGAATAATCCAAAAATGTAACCGAAAAGACAAAAAACTGAGTTAAGTAGAATTAGAATTGGAATGGCGATGGTTTTCAACTTGTGCTATAAAGCAAGAAATAAATCTGCGGTGGCTGAGTTTTATCCAGAAAGATGGATAAAAATGACGTATGCAATTAAGTGAGGCAAAAAATAAATTAATGTGAGCGGAGGGAGTCATATTTTGAGTAGAGGGTGCCAAAATTCCTAATATGTGCTTATATTAATTTTTTCTAAAATTGTTTATGACAGCGATGTTTAACAGTTCTACGGTGTATTAGTTTTATGGTGGTTTTATGGTTTTACTGTAATTTTACAGTTTTACGGTAATTTCACGGTTTAAAAGTTTTACGGTATACTCTAAGGCTTAGCGTAGCGACGCCCGGCGAGCGGTAATATACCAGTAATACCCTAGCATGAGATAGATATCCACATCGGTTGTGCATGCATTCTTAGTATTCGCAAAATGGCTTCAGCCCGTTCTCAGCTAAGAGAATTAAGCAACATTTGTTCATACAGGAACCACCACAGTTTACAAAAGCATTGCCCGGTGATATTGGTGAAGTGGAGGAAGGCGAGCCGTTGCATTTGGAATGCCAGATTGTGCCAGTCAGTGATAATACGCTGCAGATTTATTGGCTCAAAGATGGCAAACCCATTCCAACAGGTTGGTCAGCTTCCTGTAATAACACATCGTAACACGCTTAGCCCGCACACGTTGAGGCGTTGATGCTCTGAAAGCTGCTCTATTTGGTTTCTAGTCCACTTAGTTTTAGCCTCCTCATCACACGGGTAGCATTCAGCTTTCTACTTTGTGCACTGGTTCAATTTTGATACTTAAACTTTGCTCTGTTTTTGCTTTTCAGCGATTCTCTGTTCTGCATTATCGCAGGGAGGCTTTTTCATATATAATTCTCTAATTCAGGACACCGATTCCGTACTTTTCATGATTTTGGCTTCGTATCGCTAGATATTTTGGACGTTTATGCAGAAGACTCAGGCACGTACACCTGTGTTGCGAAAAACGCTCTTGGACAAGCGGAATCTACGATCAGTTTCACGTGCAGAGGTAAATTTCCATAGCTCCCGTCCCTTTTCTTTTGTGTTTTTGAGTCAAAATTTTGCAGAAAATCATTTTTTTTCAAAAATTTCCCAAGGTGAGTTTGGAGATTTCAGAAAAATCGAAATTCCGGGTGTTCAGAGGTTGCTGGACTTGTGCTAATTGGAAAGATCTGTGTTTCAAGATAGGACACCGGACTATTTACTGGATAACACTGAAAGTAGCTTAATTTACAGTTCATTTGGAACTTCAATTTCAGCCAAGGAACGAATTCTTGGCCAAACACAACATCCAAGTAGCGTTGCGCGAATCCAGGAAATAGAAGCACCAAAAGCGGCTCCTGAAGAGATTCCAGATGCAGCAAAAGAAGTCAGTTTTCATGAATTTTCCTATTTTAAACACCCATATTCACCAGATTTCACGCTGCCGAGCTCTCCTGTTGCTAAGCAAACAGAGTTGCTCATTACAGGCACCGCGATTTATCAAACATATCGGAACCGGTGAAATGATGTACGTTACTGAAGGCGACAGTGTTTATCTGGAAGCACGAGTTTCGCCGGCTGATGACAACTCGCTAACCGTATGTTTCCCTAATTTCCCCGTTCTGTGTATTTTCAGTATTCAAAAATCTCGTAAATTACAAGAGTTTTCGTTGCTCGGCAAGTAGAATGACTCTGATTAGGTTTTTTTTTTTCGACTTCTCGACTAAGTTATAAACACGCGAATCCATGATTCCTCTGCCATGTAGCTAGAAAAGATTGGTTTTTTTTGCAGTTCAGTTTCTGAAAAGCATGCAATTTTGAGGATCAAATGGCCAAAAGAATTCAGTTAATTCACGTTTCAGTACGAGTGGTTGCTAAATGGTAAACCATTGATGAAAGCTCATCGTTTCGTTCTCAGCCATGATTTTGGATTT